TTATATTTATATATAAAATATATGAAAAATAATTGAAAAATTTATAATAAAAAAAAATTCAGTACAAAGTTTCTGACCAGGTCAAAGGAAATTTCAAGCACCTCTCCCTGATACAAAGGCCTGCAATGATGTTATGAAGGTCACCATTTACAGATGCCAGCCTGCCAGACGCTTTGCTCTCCTATAACTACAGATTATAGCAGAGGAGCGTGAATATGAACTAAGGTTGCTGCACTGTCTGGTCGTTGATCCAACCAAATGCAGGTTTGTGCTAAATTACATATGTCAGGGGCAGAGAGGTTGCCTTCTAAGATCAGGGGTTTGATCTGGCACCCTGTCTCTGCAAGTACTTGGTCAGAATCAGAAACAAACCCCAGTTCATGGAGGCAATCTGAGGTACTTTGTTTCCCAAAAGCCAGAAATTTCTGCAGAACACAAATGCTGAAGAATAATGGGAGACAAACCCACAAGGAACTGATTCTACATACCTGACAGATATATTTTTTTCCTTAGTATCATAAATCAACCATTAGTTTATGAAAAGAGGAAAACAGTGATGATAGAAATAATATATTGACACATTTTATCCTCTCTACTGCAAATGCAGTAGACCTCATTACTGGTAGACTCATTTACTGATGCGTAAGCTTTCCGATATCTCATATTTAGTAGTATGTTATGTCAATGCATTCTACAATTTAACTTCATGTTATGTCCAAACATATCTCCATTCTCCATTTTCAATTTTGTTTTTCAATATCTAGATCTTTTTCCTAAGCACTTGCACTATTACCATCAGTTGTGAACCCATAATGAAACTGCTACTGAAGATAAATGTTTTGCGTCTCATATGAATTGGGTAAAAATAGTTTACTTACCAATATTCATCCAATAGATATGCAAAGGCGGGATGCCTTTCGGGGGATTACAGTGCAAAATCACAGAATCACCATGCTCCACATCAAGGGGCTCAATTTTTTCTTTTGGGAATTTTGGTACACCTGTACAAAAACAAAGAAGTTCCCCTTTTATTGTTCTCTTTTGAAATTTTGCCCTTTGCTTCCCCCTTAATACATTTCTAAATAAAGCATTTACTTTAACATCATCCTTTGCATTCTCTGCCTTTAGTTACTACTATTATTTACAAAGTGATGCAGAGCAACAACGCATTGTACTGAGAGGAAAAAGTCTCTGCTAGCGTTCTTCATTCACAAAGTGCACAGTGTTAAAAGCCAAGCAACTGAACGGTGGTGATGTCTGTGATGTCCATGAGTTCTGCTTAGGCTTTATTTTAATGTGTTTCTTTTTGAACACTCTATAGTTCATTTATTTGTACTGTCTGGAAGGGACAGCTCAAAGCCACACAGAACCAAAGCCTGAGGCATCAAGGACTGTGCACCAATGGGCCCCAGGCTGTTCCCCGGAGACCAGAAACCAGCCTGGGAACGCAGGATGTTCTTGGCTAAAAAGCAGTTCCCAAAAAGCCACTGCAAGTTAATGCAGGTGAAGACAGACATCAGCCAGCAATGCTGTCTTGTGCCTGGAGCTCTCCCAGTTCTCACCCATCTCCAGAATCAGATGGAGCAGAAGTCTGGTTTATAGCCCATATTGCCTCCTCACGCCCTCAGGTGCGAAACCTCTGCTGTGCAGACCTGCAAACTTCCTCAGAGAGTTTCTCCTTTGGGATGCAGAGGCAGGATTTTCAGAAAAGAATACACGCTGCACTGTTTGGGGTTAAGTACAGGTTAAATCATCAATGGACCAAGGGCTTGTTTCATCACCTAGAGCATCAGTACTGATGCCAGCAGACTGTTCCAAGCCTGAACCATGCTGGGCAAACCTGGGCAACCTGACCAGTCTCAGCAGCCCAAAATTCAACCAGAGCACATCCAAGCAGAGGGGAAGCGGAGCTGGGCTGGAGCCCACACGAAACCAAGCACTGGGAGGCTGCAGCTCAGAGATTACTGCAATGAAATCAGCCTGCAAAACATAACCACTCCTTAAACTAATTTAGGTAAGACAGTTTCAGGGCAGATCCTGTCTTCTGCTTTCACTCCAGGCAAGTTCAAACGAGCAAAAGTTTCAGTTTAGACAACTGCATTAAACAGCAACATTAACAGCAATTAAACAGCAAAGGAATGAAAGCATCCTGCTGCACAGAACCGAATTGGCACAGCAAATATTGCCATCCCTGTGTTCAAGTCATGACAGGAAACGGTGATAGTGAATAAACAAATTGAGACATTAATGGTTCAGTGGCTCCATGGGCTATCTGCAGTGTCACATTGCAGGACTCAAACCAAAGGAAGCAGGTGGGAAATGCAGGACCAGGACTCTGAGGAGACTTTATACATAGTAGGATCAGTAAACGTAAAAAGAAGCAATCACTATAATGCTGATTGCCCTGGGAAATACATCTGCTAACTGCTGGAGAGGTAGAAAGTTTTTCCAGTAGGAAAAAGCCAATTTGTTGATCTAAAGCTTACTTATTTCCAAAAGTACATCACTCTCAACAAAACTTTAAGAAAGTCAGACCAGGTGAAGTATAAGAGATTTCTGACTAAACCAAAGAGACCAGCAAATAGAGTACTAGTGAGATCACACATCTAGGCCATCGGAAACTCTTGTTCAAACACATTTTTTGCCTCATTTGGCACAACTAAATCTGGCTCTTCGATTTCCCAGTTGGGTGCCGTAACCACTGGTTTTCTCTATCAATTTCTGTAGCCAATAGTTGCAGAATTATACAAAAATACAGCAAGTCCCACCAGGAGACAGTGAAAAATCATGGTCTCTGTGTCATTACCTGGTAATGCCTGTGTTCATCTCCAATGTGTGGCCCAGATCTCTTCCTCTGGACTTCACTAGAGGAAGCAGCAATTTGAATCCAAATGTCCTCCACCTCCAACAGGCACTGGAACCACAGGTGGTCAGAGCTTCTGGGTTCCTCCATGTTGTTTTGTTGCACTTTGTTCATTGTGGAAAACATTGGGAAACTTTGATTTTTTTTTCCCCTCAATATATAACTTTGTTTTGAACACTTGAAGTTTTGCAAGAAAGAAAACTCAACTTTCATGATAAATGCCTGAGTCGAATCTTGTGACAAGCATATTTTCTTGCTGGGGTCCCATCGGTCTCAAAGGTTAGAAAAATAACTGCTTCTGAGTTCTGCATGAGGAGATTTATTAAAACTAAGACGCTACTACCACATTAGACTTTGGCTCTCACACATCAGTCTTCAGTACTGCCTTCATATGTAGGCAGTATTTTTTTTGGTTTTGCAGCGTTCCTCAGTTTTAATTAGCACATACTCCAGAATCAATCACCACTGATTTGTGGCTGATCACAGAAACTATCACAGCTGAATTACGCTTGAAAGTATCATACAAGATTAATTGTGTCATGAAAGTGTTTAATACTGTATGGAGTTATCAATGCAGCACATGGGCACTGTAAAATTTACAACCAATTGATCTCTTTGCAGCGATACCATTAAAACTGTCATGTCAATCTTTCATGCAATTCCCCACACAAAGATATGAGAGGGGACAGAGGATCCAGCATAGCCTCAAGTGCTACCTTTCACATATCCATAACACAAGGGAGAACAACATTATTTAATGACTCTGGAAAGGCTTGCTGAAGTGCCGGCAGGATGGCTCTCAGGACACGAGCAATCAAGTGGTATGTATGAGCCACAAGAAAGATGAAAAACTGCACATCTGACTTCTGGTATGGAGATATCTTCTAAAAACCCACCATGACATATAAAGCTTTCTAAACAGTCTTGGGAAAGGCTTCGCTGTCCAAGTATTACTTCCTAGCAAGGCTTTACAGCACTCAAAAACTAGAATCCCAGTGCTTTGACAGAGTGTAAACCATAAAAATGGAAGATTATCAGTGTCCAGAGTCATTTGTTCAAGGAACAAGGCTTGGATTAATCCCTGGGGTGACTCAAAGTTTAATGACTGAACCGTACTTGACATTAGGCTGCAATACCACTGGCAAATTAGGTTGGCTGAGAGAAATTTCAGAAGGGAGGCTAGGTCACCCCTTCCTACTTATTTATTCAGAAAATGCAGTATCTCAAAGAAAAGCAAACAGGAGGGAGACCGATACAACACAATCTAAAAAGTCTATATTTTAGTTAAGCAGTATAGATTCAGAAATACAGCAATCAGAGTCGGGATACTCTCATCCCCAGCCGTATTGCTCCAGATTTACTCAAGGACCTATGAGCACGCTTTGTCCTACAGCTTAGTTTTTGTCCTACTGCTGACTACAGTGACTTCACACAACCATAAGTGTATCGAGTATGGGAATTTATACCAGTTTATGAGACTGGAGCCCATTCAATCTGATATTTTATGTGTTTCTGGGTAAAGTGTTGAGAAATTGAACTGAAGGGAAACAATTTCTCCAGGTAACCATAAGAAGTCCTTGGAACCCTGTGTCTCATTTTTAACCAAGATCTGGTGTAAAATGGGATTCACCTCATTATGATAATTTGGGAAATTATTGTAGGAAAACATCACTGTACACTCGATCTGTTTTTATAACCTTCTCTGTGGATGCTGTTGGAGACGTGTCCTGGACTAGATGGATGCTTAGCCTGATGCATCATGGACATTCTTAAGTACCTCCATGCAAATAAACCCTTAAAGGATGTAAGAGTGAGGGAAAGTAGAAATAATCAAGGAATTTCTAGATCCTGGAAATTCCCAGCTCCTCAGACACCTCAATTAGTAGCTGACTGATTTGTTACACAGATCTGTATCTTGTGCAGTGAACACCCCAATATATCAAAGAATCATAAACATGACTTACAGTCACCGACCACATGAGTTGTACCAAACACTGCTTGGGCAGCTTTCAGGACTCATCTCAGTGCATCAATTGATATTCTGATCCATATAGCATATATAGTAATTAAAGCTGTAATTTTCATTGCAGCCTTTGAACTGTTTGTCAGATTTGATCCTGCTTATTTATGGATTTTTTTAATTGCTGCATGAAACTGAAAAAGTTAGGGAAGTCTGGCTGTCAGGAAGACAGTGGCTGTCAGTCCATTTGCTATTAAGAAGATTCTATGATGGAATCAGTGATGGTCCTTTTTTCTGTGTAAATCTCTATCACTCTTTC